ACAGGTAAGATACTTACTTGTCTATACAGATCTTCTCTACCTGTGGGACCAACACCTGTAACATCCTCATTATGGTCTGAAGAGGTAATTTCTGTTTCCATGACATCACCTATACAAACAAAACAATTAGACTCTTTCATTAACGTCAGAGGTTTTTGTTTGCCAACAATAACTACAAAGATAAACATGTGTTAGCCTACTGAACTAAGAGTACAATACCTGCTACAGTACAGATATTCTATTCTAGTGATATACGGTAACATTTAATAATTCAAAAATCTTAATGCCACTTAAGTATATTTCAACCCCAGTAATAGACAATTTTTTTGGTCATGAATTGGTTTGGTTTGTTTGTGATTAACGTCTTATTAACAGCTATGGTCATTTAAGGTTTTAGTGGTGGTGGAAAGGCGGAGTTCCCAGAGAAAAACCACCGACCTACGGTCAGTACCTGACAACTGCCCCATGTAGGTCTCGAACCCATGACCAAGTGGTGGAGGGCTAGTGGTAGCAGAATATTGTCAGACACCTTAACCAGTGGGCCACCGAGGCCCCTTTTTTTGCATGAAAAAGAATATTTGCTAATTTAATGTCCAACTCAAAGTGGTACACATGTCCACTACAGTTTTTGTCTGATGATTTCTTCACATTGTGTGTTAGTAGTGGTACAAAAATTTTACCCAGTCAGGTGTGGCTACCCAGGCCCCCGGGCTGGAAGTGGAGGCTGTCCTTATCATGGGGGCACGCCCTCCTGCATCTGACCCTGCGGCGGAGTGGGTGGGACTGGCTGGAGAGCTGGGCTGTAAACAAAATGATTCTGTACATTCCTGAGAAGTCACCTTTCTAATAACAAGTCTCTATACTGAATAACATAAAACTGTTGATGTGTATTTATCTTTGAGAATGTGGTGGAATTGAGAGAATCAAATTTATAAATGATTTGATTTTTCAAATGACTCAAGTTCAAACTTACCAGCAGCCCTAGTGAATTTTCATTCACAAAATAGTTTGTAAACATAAGATTTTGAAAGTTTTACCTGTGTTATAGAGTACCTATAATATAATAACAATACACTGATGGATTTTAGTTATAAACATTCTAGATCCCAAAAAATTACAAACATAAATGATTCAAATCAACAGCAGCAGAAAACTAACCAAGCTTTTTGTCCTTGTCATCTTTGGTTTCTCAGTGCCTTCAGCCCCTTCCTCTTTCTCCCCGTCTGTAGGGTCTTGAATCTCATTAGGAGGCTGGACATTGTGTGTTCCGCTTGATGTGGCCAGCTCCTTTAAGGTGGGGTCAGCATTACATTCATCGGGAGCTGCTCTCTCCGTCATCTTGTCTATACCTACAGGTGAACCATGTATAAAGATTGTACAAGGCAAGATCACAG